TAAAGAACTCTCCTCGACCAGCACCGCCTTTTCGGAATATAACACTACTACTACTACTACGATCGTTACAAATTGGCGTCGCGTGATGAAGCTCCCAACGTTTGGGCAACTGAACCTTCAGGCCATCCCATCTGGGATCGAGGAATGGGTCGAACGATTCCAACTGTGGTGCAGTATTCGCAAAGGTGGTGCACAGAATTAGTCAGCCCTACTTCTTACTGCTGGCGGTCGTGACCTTCACTCCCTGTTGAAAAACCTGACATTCCCTAAGGCTTCGACTAAACTACCATACAAGTCTCCGAAGTCATTGCTGCTCGACCACCTGCTGTCCACTGAGTTCCAAGCACTTGAAAGGGCCAAATTCAACTTAATGATTCGTCCCGATTATTTTTCCTGCCGTGACTTCATCCTGCAGCTGAACAAACAAGCATCACGCTTCAACTATGGTGATCGCCTGGAAGAACAACTGTGTGGTCGCTTGGTGGTAGGCATTAATAATCTGACTCCCCAACGGAAGTTACTGGAAATGAAGGATTTGTCTTTTGCTGAGGCCCGCAATATCTGTGAGCAACAGGATGACCTGATGAGAGCTACCTCCAGCTAATCAGTCACATTATTCCAACGGCAAAAGACCCGACTGAACCGATCACCAATTGTCAAGTGTTCACCGAAGCTGCAGCAGTACCCTTCTGGCAACGAGAAAAGTATCAGTCCCTGTTTGTCATCTGGAGCTTACCATCTGCGTTCCAATTGCCGCTTCCGAAATGCCAAGTGTCATGCATGCGGGAAAACTGGCCACATTAAGTGAGGGGGTAAACAGCCCCGTTGCAATCTTGCACAGTCAACTGCTGCAAGTGACACAAACCTTGTGCTCTCTCTACAATCGGAAAGACAATGCACCTAATTCCTATACAAGGATGTAACATCACAGTTCGGCAACACGCACAAATTCGTTGTTGTCACGAGAAGCACGGAATCTATTATTTCTATTGCAATGCTTCCGTCAATCTGTCCTCAAGCCGAAATCCGTCCGACATCTGTGCGAATCCTTGGTGTGACTAGACGGAAATTGTCATTGATTGGTGAGGTTTCGTTGATGGTAACTTCCGCCTTGTTCCCATTTGCTTCCTAATTTGCCAAAAGCGGTCCATCCATTCTTGGCCTAACCGCCATTCGTGCATTGAACCATTCCGTGTCGCTCCATACAAGCTCCATGTCCAATGTGCACACCCGTCTACAGCGTCTGATTGTGAAATGTTCCAACAATACAGAAGGTATGAACGTGCAACCGGACAGCTTGGAAGATTACGGTGAGCCCGTATTCCTGAAACGACGTGTTATCCCCTATGGCCAACGTGAGGGTGTACTGCAGACCCTTGAAAAAATGGAACACGACAAAGTAATCACTCGAGTCACATCCAGTACGTAGGCAACGCCAATTGTGATCGCGATCAAAAGTGACGGCAAAACACCGCGAATTTGTGACGATTACCGGTTAACCCTCAACCCGCGGTTGCGAAAGTGTGTGGCTACCACCATGGAACCAGAGTATTTCATGACAGCATTGCACGACAGCATTTGCTTCTCGAAGATCGAATTGGCTGATGCGTACCTCCAGATTCCTCTCGCTCCAACCAGCCGGCAATTCACTACCATCAACACACCGTGGGGACTATATCAATACAACTTTAGCGTTTGGTCTCCACACACCTTCAGGAATATTCCGGGCGGCTATTGACGGAGTCTTTCGTGGACCCGATGGCGTGTTAGCGTTACAATACGACGTCATTGTGTTTGGTAAAACGAAGGCCGAGCATGACGATAGACGCCTCAAACTATTCGAGCGTTTTGCCCCAAATAATGTGTCAATTCGCGCTTCTAGATGCGTGTTCAGTGAACCATAATTGAAGTCTTTGGACTTCAAAGTGGATGCAAAAATCTGCTGTCCTGATCCGAGTCGTTTCCGCCCATTGACTAAACTCGAATCACCGGGAGACCAAAAACGACTTATATCCATCATGGGATGTCTCCAATACTATCCACGTTTCATCCCGAACTTTGCCATGAAAGGTCAATCGCTGTTCACTGCTCAGTCGACTACAGAATGGAAATGGATTACCGAGTGTGAACAAATTTATAAACAGGAAGTTGAGCAATATAGCACACTTGTGACAAGTTATAGTTCTGTGCATAAGGAGATATGAAAACGAAAAGTCACAGAGGCAGAAACGTAAGAAATGAAAACCTGTACACATTTTGATGAGTTTGTGTTATCCGGAACTGAGTTCAATCAGAGAAGATAAATGACAACTGCGCATACTGGACGCGGTAAAGGTGCCAAACGTTGATCGTGCGGAGGTAAAACGATACANAGATCTAAAGGCGGCATATCTTGGATAGCGGAGCCTGCCTTCGGCTGTTACAAAACAGCAAAAAACGGGGTTATCCCTCGGGTATTACGCCCGAGGACTCCAAGAGTATAAAAGGGCCGCGGTCGGAACAGCTACAAGGGGGTAGTATCGCAATCCGGTACATTAACGCTTGTAGTGTCCGAGGTAAGTGGGGTGAGATAGCAGCACGCTCGCAGGGATCCGAAATCGTCGTTATTACGGAATCCTGATTGCGGGAACTGCAAGTTATAACAGACCTGGGAGGCTATACTAGTTACCGGCAGGATAGAGTAGACAGCAGACAAGGCGGTGTTGTGCTAATATTAGTTAAGTCATCCCTCAGCCAGCGGGAAACACAGCTGATCTTAGCTACCCCCAACATCCAAGCAGTAGGATGCTGTCCAACTGGGAAGAAAGAAGATAGGCGTACTAGGTGTCTACCGTGCCCCTCTTGCTACCACCTGGGAAGATACATAGCTGTCGCTGGTTATGCAAGAAACCCTGGCTAGTCACAAGAGATTTCTCGTGATAGGGGACTTAAACTTCCCGGAGATATCTTGGGCACATTGATCCACGATTGCCGGGTCTCAAGGGGAATGGCTGCTGAGCCCTCTCACATGTTACAAAAGCAACGAAATATCGAGGACAATAGCGTCCCTCGCTGCTTGACTTAATTATCACAAGGTACAGCTCGGACATAATTAGTATAAATATAGGCAAAGCGATCACGAAGTGATTTGCTTTGGACTGACGGTCAGCTATCGTAGACACGGACCCACCCTCATCCGGCTCTATGGGCGCATAAACGTCCCAGAGTTGGTACAGACTGAAAATATCATCACTTGGTACCCGACGTCCCAGGAGTGTACTGTGCAAGATAGATGGGACGTAGTTAAAAGAGGGTTAACCAACCTCATAGAAAGGTTCGCGCCACTGAGGGAAGGACGAATCAGACATCGACCAATATGGCGGAAATCCGGGATAGAGAGGGCGCGTAAAATTCACAGACAATACTGGGATCGCTTTAAGCTTTACGGTACTCANGCGTACGTGCAAGCCAACGCACGCACACGGGAGAGTGTAGGAGCACTAGCTTTGTCCGACGGAGGTATAGTTACGTGTAATCGCGCTAAAGAGGAAATCCTACTTAAGTTCTTCAAGAGCGTGTATAGGACCCCAGTCGACTATGATAACGTGGGTTTAGCAGGGTCAGCTGATACGCCAGAGTTTGCTGATATTGGCATC